GACTTTTTCCAGCTCTCCACAAAGACTTGTGCAGCTCCTGAGGTCACTTCAGATTTTTGACACTACAGATACAAGAGGATGTCTAGTGTCTTCTTTTACTATGTCTCCATGGCACAGATAAATTCTAAACCTCTTTTTTTCCCCCACACTTTAGTTAATTCTTGTTCTTCTTGAAACTCACAAGCTTGCAGATCCCATCTCAGTGTAACCACATGGGAAGGAAACACCTCCAGGAGAGCAGTGTGGTTTGTCATTGCCATATTTGTGCTTTTAATTACCCTCCACATCTTACCTATGGTTTTGATGAGTTCATTTCCCCAGAATGTCTCTTTCCACCCTTCACCTTGTGCCCAAAGTCACAGATGCAGCTTGGCTGGCTCAAGTAGGACTCTTGGAGGAGACCTCTGGGGACAAAAAAAAAAACCTCAATCTAGAAAAGGCCAATGTCCTACAAATACAAAGGAACTACACAACACTTCAGGCAAGCTCTGCAGAGCAGATTCTCAGAGGCACCCTTCCTGCAGTGAGGAGAAAAAACCAAGCAGTGATCATGTATCACCTCCTTCCTCATGGGACAAGGCTGACAGACCAATTATCAAATTTCCAACAGATGTGGCATCTTCACAGGCAACTTTTCATTTTCCAATAGTCAACAGCAATCAAGGAAATACCTTAGCAGACTTTCATCACCAGCAACCAGCTGCTCCAAGTGGGCTCCCAAAAGCTGCATCCACGAGCCACAGTTTCCTCAGTGCAGAAATGCCATTACAGATTGTTTGTCACAAAAGGCAGCATAAGCACCTCTCCTGAGCATGACCACTCGTTCTCCTGAGAAATATGAAGCTGCTCTGTCAAATTGTGGTGCCAGCATCTCCAACACACATTTCCTCTCATCTCTTCTAACCTAGGACAACCAGGCATAACCAGAAGGCTGCAGTTGTTTCTGTGCATTGACTGAGACATCTCTAGCAAAGCAATTATAACATTGTGCATTCAGCTGCTTAAATGCTCTCCACAATATAAAGGTTGAATTATCTCTTGCAAAAAAGAGATTTCTCCCTACAAATGAAAGTGTTGTTAGAAAGTAAAATGTTACCAGCAAGGAAGTTTTGCTCCTCAAACACCAGGGAAAAGATCAGTTTTGACTTCCTAGCAAAATCTGGATCCCTTCCAAGGGAGCTGAACTCATCTTCAGTGTGTCCTGTGGTGTAAAAGAATTGCTGCCATCAGTAGTTCTGGCAATGGGAATGCTGCCTGTCCTGTCATCTCAGTGCACTCAGGCTTCAACAGCTACTCAACAGCTACTCAACAGCTACTCAACAGCTACTCATACTTACCCAGCAGTCAAGGAGCCTCTCTGGTTATGTGGTTTAAATTTCCAGGCATTTCCAGCTCCTGCTTCTCTGGAGAGTCATTACAGTTGTCAGCAAACCAGCCAAAAGGAACTCAAACCTCCCAACATGGTCCTCCATCTCCAGTGTTCCACAAGGATGAGGTGGGGTTAATATCTCTTCTCGGGAACTTCCTACTGAAACTTTCATTTGAATCTGCCTATTAACACACTTTCTTGTTTTCTTCCAAATCTATATCCATAAGATATTCTAAGCCATGGATATTTCAGGGAATTTTGATACTACTGTGACTAAGCAAAACCTTTTTGCTCATATTTTTGCTGCTGTCTTTACAGGTCTGAAAAGCCCCACCATCCCTTCTCAGAATTTCAGAATGGATTGCATTACAGCACAAATACCCTATATTGATATACTAGTCAATATACTATATTGCTCTTGAAAGACTGAGACTGGTTCTACTGGAGTGCAAATTTTATCCTCTCCTGACTTCCAAAGCACAACCCATTAGAAACTTTCTCCTTGACTTGATGGCAGTATCAGACACTAAGTTGGATTTGTGAGACATTAGGACCTGGAGGGGTTGTGTCCTTCACAAGTAAACCTCCCTCCCACCTACCCAAGGCAGACCATGACTAGCAGAAACACAATTACCTTACCCAGTGCTGTGGTCTCTGAGATTTTAAGTATCTCTCCATTGAGTAAAACTGGCTTCTTTCCCAGAGACTTCCTTACCTGGGATCCTGACTTCATGATGGGCACCAGCTTTGCCTTCCTCTTTTGTGCCTGCAGGGGCTCTGAGAGTGCTCACAGGTTTGCAGCAGCTGAAGCAAATTATCTGTTTAAAAAGCTGCTTTTCTTGTACACACTGAACGTGAATGAGATGTATGCAGGCAACAATATTCTGAGGAGGTTTTCAGACATGTTGCAGGGATCACTCAGTCTTTATCTTACTGAATTTTTACTTGGTCCTCTAGAACCTTCTCTTTCTTGGCCTCTTCTGCTCCTTAGCATCTCTGTTGCCTTTTTTAATATAGTGACATCAAAATAAAGAAAGAAATACCCAAAGAGTTCTCATTGTACTCATCTCTCCGAGTGTCTTTGTACAGGTGCATCCTGCTTCAGATATTTCTTTCCCCACTCAGCCTGCAAGTTTTCTTCTATATCACTCTAAATATGGCCTTGGAGCTGGAATTTATACTTCAGATCCCTTTTCTGTACAAGGGAAACTGCTCAGAACATCCTCTCTGACTGATGTCCCCGCTGTGGACCTTTCCCATTCAGTATTTTCATGTTACTCACGCCCCAAAAGAGAAGGGCAGGATGGAAGGCTTGAAGTTCCTCTGCAGGGCAGAGATGGCTGCAAATTAAACATTACAGCCAAGACTGCTTTCTGCTCAGTGGTGTAGCTTCTCCAATAGCTCTTCCAGAGACATTAAACAGATGAGGGTTTGATTTTCCACATTGTTCTGAGATTTGTAGAAATGAAATCCTGTCCACTTCAGATGGGCAATAGACACTGGGTTTAATTCCAAGTACTTGTCACCATGGCTCCATCTCTGGGAGCTGATGTGACCACTACATTCTCAGGTGCCAGTTGCCTGCCCTTGTCCTAAAATTGTCATTCCCACATCACTGGCAAGGCTGAAGATTCTTGGATAATCTAGCAGAAGCTCTCTCAGCTTTAGAGTTCACAATGGCCACACTTGAAATTTCCAGTAATGGGTTCTCAGGTACCTGTGCTCAGGTGCATGGGGTGCCCCTTTGGCACAGGTGTTGGGATTTCTCTCCTTTCTGAAACCTTTGTGGAGACCAGAAAATGTATTTAGCAAGCTGGGGGTTGATTTCCCCCTTATGAACTCCCTCACTGTGCACAAGCATGGCAGGAACCTCAGCCCACAGTGCCACAGTTTGTACAAATCCCACCTGCCAGCATTAGCAGAACCTTGTCTGGGCTGCTTTTGAGCCTCTACCATAAGTAGGGATATAATTTGGTACATTTTTGACCACATCTTAAAACACAGCCCAGGTAGCTCATGGGATAAGAGAGGAAATGACAATGAAGGCACAATATCACACAGCACCTCAAAAGGCTTCTTCAGCCTGTCAGTCACAGATGCACCAACCCTGTCAGCCAGAAAGGATGGAGAACCCCAAAAATTTTTAGGCTTCCTTCAGTTATTTTGAAGGGCCTTTGTACCAAGAATGCAGCAAGCAGCAGAACAAGGGTCCTTCTACTGTAAGAAAAGGTGATTTGCAGAATTAGAAAGAGAAAGGGGGATGGGATAGAGAAACACTTTGCTGGAAAGATGTTTCCCTAGCAGCACAAAATCAAAATCTATGCCCAACCTTTAAGAAATGTCTCTATGGGCACTGCTTCTTTATTTGGTATTCAAGCCAACTTTTGCCTGTATGTGATCTGAAAACACAAGAGCAAACGTGAAAGAGGAGGATAAAAGCAATGAAAGCTGACACTACCAAACCAATGAATTAACCCAGATTATTAAATGAGTTAGTGTACCTTGGGTTTTTAATCGCTTTAATTTGCCTGTGCCACCCAATAGGCTGTGCATCCAAACTGCAGTTTTTCTTCAGGTGATACAATGCCAGTTTGATTACTGCAGCTTCCTTGGAGAGCAGGAGCATGCTGCAGGAGTCCTCCATGGCACTAGTGGGAAATTCTGACACTGAAAGAAGAAGAAATACATCAGTAATACATCAGTTCCCACTTTGCTAAAATAGCAGACAGGTTTAGCATATGGTAGAGGTTAGGCCTGAAGGATTATGTTGCTATTGAACTGAAGGACTCCCAATAAAGACAGCTTTATTTAATTTGCAATTCTGCTTCTCACACCCAAGGATACTTGCAGCCTTGGCTATTTTTTAGAATTGCTCTCAGTATTGGAAATGGCCACAGAGATTAATCAAGGAATATCAGGCAGAGTGTCTGCAGCAATTTTGCTCTTCCAGGTGTGACCAGGGCTTGGCTCAGCTCAGCCTGGCCTCCAAGAACACATCCATTGGTCCCTAGGACTTTGCAGTGAGGTGGGTGAAGGTAGAGCCAGCTAATTAGCTGCACCAACCCACTCTCCACAGCTGGTGCTGGGTGTTGAAGGGCTGCCAAGAGCCAGTGAGACTCTCCCAACCCATTGCCTCACCCAGAACTGTGTGTAAGGGAATGGGGATATATAAACAGAAAGAGTTGCTTTAGCACTGGGATGTTATGGGTTTACAAATCAGATGGATGCACTAGAAGCTGGCTGGTCCCTGTGCAGACATGGCCTGGATCTCAGTTGGAGGGCTAAATCAGCCCCTGTATTGGACTCGTTGTAGTGATACAAGAAATGTTTTACCAGTTCAGCACCTCCACTGCCAGGGTGTCCAGCACTCAGGGGACACTGGTGTGACTCACATGTGGTGGTAGTGGAGAGAGCTTATATCAAATTCAGTGGCAGCTGTGCCTATTTCTGCCACGGCCAGCCTTGATCCTGGGCATCCTAGGGAATAAGCCCAGCCTCTTGTGCATTTCTTTCCAATTCCCTTTTGCCCTCTTCTGCCATTTTGTTGCTCCTGTGTTAGCCAAGACCTAGTTTACTAGGGCTCTTGATTGGAGACTTATTACAGCTTATTTCTGTCTGCCTTTCTTTAAAGCCAGCTGAACATACCCAATGCTCTTCCTCTATGGTAAGACCGAAAATACAGACCACCCTCCCAGCTTCTGTGACACTCTTTCTAACACACTCCTTTTTTCTCTTCTCCGTGATCACAAGTTCTCTCTCCAAGCCCAGCCTAGTTATTTGTGCATGAAGCTGCCATGTCGTGTATTGGTGTGAGTCTGGTGTTCACATGAGCTGTGAATATGCTGCACATGTGTATCTCTTGTGCATCCTGAGCTTTCCTTTGGTCGAGTTAACTGTCGTTCTGCCTTCTAATGAACCACCAAGAGAGAACTGGACCTGGGAAGATTTCTTGTTAGCCACAAAGGATGTCCCTGTGTCACTACCAGTGTGGTGCTGAATGAGTTTGCAGTGTGAATTCATGTCCAGAAAAGAAAGGGTTGGGACCTCTGAAACTCCTCTTCAACGAGGTAATTCATTAGAACATTTGAGTTTGTGTTTTGCACAAAAAAAAAAAAGAGTGAGTGGTGCAACGGTGCCCAAGACACTGCTGCCTTGGTGTGCCCAGCAGTTCCCACTCCACCCCCACAGAGCTGCAGGAACTCCAGTTTCTGGATTGCCACTCTGCAGAACCTCCCTCCTGTGGCAAGGATACACCTTCAAAAAGCTGGATGAAAGACAGGAGGAAGTAAGCAGGGCTACTCAAGCATCAGCTGATCTACAGCCACCTAGTTTTAAAATGACTGTAATCTTCTGAGGCACCGCTGAGTTTTTGGCTAAGTGGTTTGATGCCAGTAAGTTGCAGATTTGCGTCAGGGAGGGATTTGTTCTGTTTTATCTGCTGCTTAGATTTTTGCTCCAGGACGCTAGGAGGGCAGAGATAAATTTCTGCCTGCAGGAGCTTCCTCCTCTCAGCAAGGAAGGACAAAGGAATACTAAAACCTCTGTCCAGACCCATGTCCCAACTTGCTGCCACCTAAAGAGCCAAGCCAACAAGAAGCACAGCAGGTAGAATAAGAAAACACTGTTTTTTTAGTCACAACCACAGCAGGATTGCTGTCCACACAACCTCTAAATTTGTACCTCAGCTCTGTTTTAGATGGTATTAGAGCTTGGCTTCTATAGGACTGTATTTGACCTTACAGTTATCCCTCTGGGACTGTAGTGCTGATATTCAGTGCCATGATTTTTGATCCCTTGAAGGCCACACTCCCTCCTTCACCTCAGAGCACCTCCCTCCAATTCACTGAAGCCTGATGTCCAAGTAACCAAACAAGGATCAGGTGCAGGGAGCACTCAGGCTTTTCCTTGTTTCCTTAATCTTTTTCACCCAATTACTCCATGGGCAGCGAGTGTCAGCCTTTGGTACAGACTGGAGGAAGCTACCTGGTGACAGACACACCACAGACAGACAGACAGACAGACTGCAGCTGGGTGCAATCCTGATCTGTTGCACATGGTGCTGAGCTCTCTGTGTGAGCAGGGGTCACACCCAGCACACAGCTATGGCCCCTGCCATAGGTACATATCTACATCTGGACATTTAATCCCAGAAACATCCACCCAGGCTGCTCCTGTGCCTTGGGTTTTATCAGAAGCAGACAAGCAGGCAGCTGCTGTTTTCACTGCCCAGTGACAGGAAATCCAAAGGGTCTGTTCTCTCTTGGTTTACACAGTGGTGAGTAGTTAACAGCAGGGGTGATCTGCACTGTTTCTTCCTCCTAAATGTTGCTCTTCCGGGGGTGTTTAGACTCAAACTGCAGTCTTTGCAGCCTGGGTGGGGACAGAGAGGGGGTTTCCATGCACTTTGCTCCACAGCAGGTCAAGTGGGAGGGTGACAGTGTTATCTCCCCCTGTGACAGGAGGTCACATTCCCACAGTGCTGCTGCCGGAAGGCACCAGCTCCACAGGCTTGGCACAGTATTTTAGGGGGTTAATAAACTGGAAAACATGGCATTATCTGTGCCCTTGAGCTAGGCAGTGAATCCTCTGCCAAGGCCAGGTGAGCCTGCTGCTGCAGCAGCCTTCAGATGGATGTTGCCTTCACACATGTGAAGGCTGAAGAACGTCAGAGCTGGTTACAACCCCAGGGGAAAATGCTTAGGGACAAAGCAGATGCTGTGAGAAAAAACAGGCCAGAAGAAAGACTATTTTAAAATACTCCACGCTTGAACAGTAGCAGCGAAGCCAAAATAAAATGCTTTAAAAAAAAACAAAAGTCAGCGCGCAGACTGTGGGAAATACAAAGGGGTCATGAGAAATGAGAAAAGCCCAGCAGAAGGAGAGAGTGACCAGGGCCCAGCCTGCAGGAGCATGGCCACAGCAGCAGAGGGGCAGCCAGGCTGGCAGTGGCACCAGTGACACCAGCACACACCGTGTCCCCTTGGGGTTTTGCATCCCAGGAGCAAATCTGGGACCTGCTGCTGTTTCCCAGCAGAGCAAGCAGCACGTGGCTGGTGCATGACACCAGATCCACCAGAGCTGCTGGCTCAGACACTCACTGGGGTGAAACACTTAAGGCAAAAAAGGGAAAGCGTCCTTCTGCTCCAGCACAAGGTCAAAGGGGAATTGCCTCTTTCCAATGGGATGTATTGGAGGGGTATAAGCATAACCTATCCCTAGTCCCTGAAAGCCCAGGCAGACTGAAGGGAGAGGCTGATGGCTTTGAGAGTAGCCTCACCTCCTGGGAGACAGGGCAGCCTTGAGCACCCCTGTCCTGTCCCTGGGGCGCCAGGGAGTGGAAGCCCAGGGAGCAGCACCAGGACAAGGAACAGTGCAGTGAGCCCCCGGCGTAGCATCCTCTGTGGCCCAGGGCCCTCGTTGCTCTCGTGCTGTTGTAACTCCTGCCTCTGTGCCAATGGCTTCCAGAACGCAGAGGAAAACTCTCGCATCTCAATCACCTTCTTCCGACTCTTCCGCGTGATGCGCCTGGTGAAGCTCCTGAGCCGAGGGGAGGGCATCCGGACCCTGCTTTGGACCTTCATCAAGTCCTTCCAGGTACTCCTTCACTTCTCTCTAAGAAAACACCTAACTCCTTTGGATCCTGGTTCCGCCCAGTGCCTCAGCTCAAAGGTGCCCAGGGGCACGAATGAGTCAAGTAAATGGAACTCGCAGGGTGTGAGTTTCACCTTGAAAGCATGAGTGATTGCTTGAGGCTCTCCTGAACAGCCCTAATAGTTCAGTTCAACTCAATTACTGCCTGTCTGTAACCCTTCAATCCCATCTCCTTTTTTTTGTTTGTTTCCTTATTTGATCTGTGTTTTATATGTGGAACTTTAAGTGAAATATACAGCTGTGGGGGGGAAGGCCTGGGTGTCAATTAAGTTTCCTTTAAGCCTTGTTTTGAGGATTTCCACTGAGTATTAGAGGTGTGTGGCCTCCATACTTTCATCCAGGAAGAATTCACCTTTTTAGCCCTACTCTTTTGAGCTGGTAACAATGCCAAGTTATTAAATTGCTGCTGCTTTTTTTTTCCCTGGAGACAGGTTGTATTTCAGTGGTAGGTAAAGTTCCAGAGTAGATTGGAGGAAGTGAAGGAGACCAGACTGGATAAGAATCATCACCTTTGGAGGGAAAAAAATCACCACAGTTATTTGCTAGAAAAAAAACCTAGCCACATATAGTAAAATGGCAGAGATTAAGCATTTTAAAAGTACTTGACCTGGATTTACTGGACCAGCACAACCTGGATGTTAGCTGGCACATGTCCAAAGGAAGTGGCAGGGAAACACAGCACAGGAATACAAATGGTGGCCTAAACATGAGCAAATATGCAGAACACACCACTGGATAAAAGCACCAAAGAGTAACTTGTGCAACACACAAGTCTTGAAACAGCAACTATAGGCTGTAAATGGTCAATAGTTTTTGTATTGATTCAAATGGAACAGGAACTGACCCACACTTTAAAACTTAAGCATCACCAGTGACAACACAAGCTGGGACCAAAGCCTGCAGTGCTGCAGCTCATTGCAATTCTGCCTTTTCTCAGCAGAAGTAGCACACGTGCACACCAGGGATCAGCATGGACTTTTTCCAGCACAGCTCTCAGTGGTCCCAGTAGCCAGACCACCAGCCTGATGCAAAGGAACTCATTTTGCACACTCACTGACTGCCAGAGGACCTAACCCTGCACAGCAGGTTTCTGACACATCCATATCACAGTGACTTTTTCCATTGCTTGCAGAGCTGCCAATTTCCAGGTTGTTATTTGAGCAGTGCCACTGGGAACCATTTTGTTTGCATGCGTAGGAACGAGATTCCCTTGGCACAGCTCAGCCAGCACTGATGTAGGGGACAGAGTCACAATTTCCAGTTCCTGCTTCTCCTCCCCTTGCCCCTGTGCCCCTCGAGCCTCTTTAGCAGTAGCTGGCCCTGAGCTGAACTTGTCACAGCTCATGGCTGGAGAGGAGGAGATGGATGGGAAAGGGAGCACCTGGTACTTCCCTCCAGTGACCTTCAGAGCTCTTCAACTGGAGAGTCACTTCAGGCAGGGCTGTAGGGTGGTGGGAGAAAGTATGAAGGGAGGGCTCTTCCACAGCAGGGGAGGGGAAAAATTAAAAGGCAGCAGTGCAAGCAACTGCTTTTTCCCTTGAAAGCCTTTAGCCATTTATAACACGGAATTCTCTGCTCCAAGCTCCTCCTCTTGGAGCTACCGGGAGGCTCCTTTGGTAGCTAAGAATAGCCACTGTGCCTCTCTTAATCCAGCCACTCCCACTGTCAGAATGTGGGATCCCAGCAGATTTTGGCACAGTGTCTCTTCAGTGTCCCCACATGCTTCCAGGAAGCATCTCTGCTCACACAGGGCAGCCTAATGAGCAACAAACTGCTGGAGTCAGATCCCATGGTCACTCCCATGTGCCCTGGGCATGGCATGAAGGGATGACGTACAAGCTGGGGCACTGGTCAGAGTGGTGGGAAAATGCTCAGCGGGGTTTCCATCTGCAGAGACAGCATCAGGGTCAGCCTGGGAGTGGGAGGAGTAGGAAGTGAGAGGGTGCTGAGGGCACAGCAGGGCCGTGGGAATCACAAGGACAAAGTGGTGACGCCAGGGAAGGACAGAGCCAGAGGAGGACAGAGACAGGAGTGTAGAATATGGGAGGTGGGGAGATGGAGGAGCCATGGGGAACAAGGGGCAGGGATGAACAGGAAGGTGAGTTAGTGGAGAGGAATGGACTGAGCAGAAGAACATGAAAAGGAAGTGAAGGGGCAGACAGACAGGAGAGAAGACACTTCTCCATCCCAATTTGGATGGGAAAACAGAAGTACTGTCAGAAAACAAGTACTGTTAGGGTCATACACCTCAGGTCCTGTCTGGACACTATCTCAGGAGCCCTTAAGTATTGTGTGCATCAAGTCCCACTTAAATCATCACAAAATATTTGGAGCCCAGTTCTGAGCTGGTGATCTCTTCAGTGACATTGTGGGGTAAGCATACCAATTTGTCTGGCCCCCTAAAAAGCCAGAGGAATCTGTCCTGAGACTCAAGATGATGATTACAGACATTGTAAAGAATTTGACTATTTTTTACCACTTTAATATTCAGATCTCTTTGAGATTATTTATGCAGATCTTAGTCAAATCTCCATGGTGGCTGGTGAAAATATTCCCTCCATTTTTCCTGTGGGATTTAGTTGTGTTGAATCTAGGATTACAGAAGGGTTTGGGTTGGAAGAGACTTTAAAGATCACCTAGTTCCAACCACTCTGCCATGGGCAGGGACACCTTCTCCTAGACAGGGTTGTTCAGAGCTCCATCCAATTTGGCCTTGAACACTCCCAGGGATGGGGCAGCCACAGCTTCTCTGGGCAACCTGTTCATGTCTCACCCACCCACATAGTAAATAATTTCTTCCTAATATTTAATCTAAACCTGTCCTCTTTCAGTTTAAAACCATCATCCCTTCTCCTATCACTGCATGCCCTTGAAAAAAATCCCTCTGTGTCTTTATTGTAGGCCCCCTTTAGGTACTGGAAGGTACTCTAGAATCTCTCTGGCTGAGCAACCCCAACCCTCTCAGCCTGTCTCCATAGCAGAGGTGCTGCAGCCCTCTGATAATGTTGTAGGCTCATTATATTCTGTGAAACTGGGTGTTCAAAATCTAGATCAGGGACTGTGCTCACATATTCAGAGTAAATGTGTCCACCTATTTCCTCTGAAGCAAGTTCTGAAAGCCTCTGGTCTGAGTGCTATATATTTCAAAATATTCCAGCTCAAAAGCCTGAGCCTCCGAAGTCCTGAGCCCTTGATTCCTGTCAGTGGTGGAGGAAACTGGCAGCACTCAGCACTTGCTGATTGCACTGACCTCTGCCTTGGGAGGCAGCTCTGCATATCAGGGCTCTGATATGAGCCTCTGCATTTCCCCTTCAGAGGCTGATCACTGACACTCAGTGCATGGCAGACACCATCAGGGACACCTAACACCGAACAGGAAAGGTGCTGATGCTGCTCGAGGTGCTTAGGGTGGTACCAACCATTGTAGCAGAGCCTTGAGTTAATATTCCAGCAGCTGTCACATCTTTTATTTCACCATTCTGGATCCAGGGAAATAGCACATTAGTGATATTTCCATTAGTGCCAGAGTAATCCTGGCTGTCAGAGCTTTCTCCTCCCGATAAGCAGGTGTAGACACTGTTTTTCCCTCGCTTTCCTGCCTCGGTCAAGGGCGGGAGTGAGAGGAGGGCAGCGAAACTCCATCCATCCATCCATCCATCCATCCATCCATCCCCCATGGCACAGAGCACAGCCCGCTGGGCTGGGCTGGGCTGGGCTGGGCTGGCAAGCAAGCGTGGGGCTGTAGAGGCATCTAGTGGCCACCTGCCCGCACTACAGAGCCTGGTCTGGAGCGTCCCAAAGCACGAACCAGGCAGAGAGACAGCGCTCTCTTTTTTTTCTTTCGTTCCCAGGCTCTCCCCTATGTGGCTCTTTTAATAGTGATGCTGTTCTTCATCTACGCTGTGATTGGGATGCAGGTGAGTGATGCTTAAAGAGCTCGGCTGTGCTTGTATTCTCCTGCTAGAGCATGGGAACAGGCTTACAGGGTAACCAACATCAATGTGTGGCTGTGGGGGCTTACAGCAATGTTTTCACCCAGTAAGGTAAGAATGGCAGCTAACCTTGGCTGGACAACATCGTCTGACTGGGTACTTCCAACAACAGCACAACAACAACAACAAATTTAAAAAAAGAAAGCAAACAAAAAAATAGTGACCCATTTAATGGCAGAACACAATATGCAAACAGTAAAAAGACAATGCCTGCCCTCCACATTCTCGAAGGAATATCCACCAAGAATTGCTTGTTGGTTCAAAACAAGTGGGCTTATGGCCATGCTGCACTGAACAAACCAAAATGTTCTCTTGCATCTCTTTCACATTGGCATAACTTCCACTGAGTTGTAAAGATCAGCTTTTGATCTACAGCCATGAAGGTAAATATGGGATCAGACCCAATACTCAGAGTTTCTCCAGGAAGCTGCATCAACACAGCATCTTAGTTTGCAAAATGTGCTTGGAATCATCCTGAGCATTCACCTGTGCAAGGAACTGATATTGCACAGACACCATTGAAGACAGCATGTGATGCACTGGGACAGTCCCAGCCTCATTTGCTGTGCTGCTTTTCAAGCTCAGCTTCACTTCCCACTTCAGTGTTAATCAAAGTTCTCAGACAAGTCAGCCATCTGGGGCCGGAGGCCACAGTATAGAAAGGCATGGCATAATTGCTTCCAGAGGCCTTCAAAAATGACAGGCTTCTTGGTTTCACAATGACAACAGAACTGGTAATGAAATTCATCTGACCTCTGTGACCTTGTTTTAATTTGTTTCCTGTTATTATAATCACATGTTTTCACAGACTCCATCTACTCTGCCCCACCGTGAAACATAAAATTAAAAGTTTTCTTGAATTATCACAGGTTATCTCAGTAGCCCCAGTAATCACAGCTGTCATTTACTAAGCTCATATTGTAAACGTGACAGTTTTGCCTTTAATAGCTAAGACGGCCAAGATCTTACAGAATTACCTGTGCTATACATAAAATCACTTCAGAGCATTCAGCTGGTATTATAATGCTGTACAAAGCATTTTAAGTCACTTCCAAGCACCCACACAGATGGGGTCTACAGTGATCAGGGCACCACCAGGGCCAGATGCTTTATTCTGTAATTCTACCCCTTTTTCTGTCAGCTCATTCTAAGTTACCTATTTAACCCTTGGCTTGCATTCAAGCCTCTGTTTAAATCATCTCAGCAGCCTGAAGACCACACATCTGTCTTCCCATAAGAAAACCAACTTTTTTTTTCATTTTCCCTGTTTGCCCAGAGTCCAAAGACCTGTGATTATCACTTTTTGTCCAAATAGCATCTGAGACATTTCGTGTGCAGCTCTCTTGAACATGCTGACACATAGGGTTCCCTCACACACAGGGACACATAGGAAGGAAAATCATCCCTCACTCCATTAAGCAGCTACCGTGAAAGACTGGATGTACCAGACCTGATAAAAATATCAGAATTTCCCATATAAAAGAGACCTACTACTTTACATCAGCAACTGCCACGACTTGGAGCATAACAACGTTCAAGCCTCACTGCCTAATGTGCTCAAGTGGAAAAAATCCAAGCTGATGCTGATGGATGAAGCCACTCCATACAATGGCCCAGGAGGCACAGATTGGAGAGGCCATGAGGAAGGAACCTCCACTTTCACTCCTCCCAGGTACCAAACACAAAACACCCACAGCAGCTGCTGCCAGTGCCTCGTGTGAGGGATGCTGAAGGAAGATCATGGGAAGCTCCCTTACCTACATCTGCCTGAAATGAAAAATATGGGCTGCCTGGGCTTAAACTCAGTGCAGCTGGGGCTGTCAGTGCTGCCTGTGGCATTGGGGCTGGCCACATGCATCCTTGTGGAACCCCTGAGGAAAACTGCCATGTGCTGACCCTCCCTCCAGTCTGTCCCACCATTGTCCCCCTGCTCCTCTCCACGTCCTTGTTTCTCTTGGGGTGCTAATTATCAGTGACATTTCCTTGAAAAGAAGCTCGGTGTTCTCTCAGAGCTGCTCTGTTCCTGCTGCTTGTTTTGGCTACAGAGAGATTACAGCTCTCAGCCCCCCCCGAGACCTCTGACACGTTGTTATCAAAGGGGAATAAATAGTCCTGGCAATGCTGTGCAGAGACATTTCTGCCACACACAGATTGTTAAGGTCTCAGTCCCACTGCCTGAAAGCACCACAGCTATCCAAGATTTTTTAAAGAAGCCTGGGGACACCCAAAGACAGGCTTCTATAAAGGTTTGCTGATGATTGCAGGCTCCATGCCATGGCTGGATGAACTGGAGTTGGGGTGGCATGGGAGGAAGCTCCAGGACTCCTTGTCTGGGCAGATCTGGTCATCATCCTCATGCTCTGCATTCTGGGAGGACCCCTGAAACACCTGCTGGTGACAAGCATGGCTGTAGAAGGGCAGGAAATTGGACAATCCCAGATCCAAGGCAATGCATTTACATTGTTTTGTGAAAATCCAAGGCCTCCCACAGAGATGGAAGCTCAAGGCTTTGCAGCTGCTGGGCTTTTGCTATAATTTCCTCCTGACGAAGATAGATAAACAATGAAGGAAGGAGCCTTTTCTTTTCTCTTACTGATTTCTTTCAGCTGGACTCCATTCCCAACTGAGTGTCTGTTAATACAAGGCCCCACGTCACATATTCAGTGCATGAATAAGGAAGGACACCTTGTTTTGACACAAGATGCTTCTTATTACAAAATTAGTGCTTTTCTGGTGATAAAACAGAAGCCAGGAAAGCAACAACATGTATAAAAGACACACAGAAAAGTTTATTTTAATAGAAGAGCAGATTCCATTAAGTATCAGAGTCAGGGTGAGGCCAAGAGCCACGGGTGACAAGAGGTTTGGGGATTTTGCA